TAGACTTATTAAAAGTCCATATTGGAGGATCGGGTTGCATGCCGCAACAGACTTATTAAAAGTCCATATTGGAGGATCGGTTTGCACACCGCAACAGATTTATTGAAAGTCCATATTGGAGGATCGGGTTGCACGCCGTAACAGACTTATTAAAAGTCTATATTGGAGGATCGAGTTGCACACCGCAACAGACTTGATTAAAATGAATATATTGTGAGAGCGGGTTGCACGCTGCAACAGAACTGAATGTGAATATATTATGAGAGCGGGTTGCATGCTGCAACATAATTGAATGTGAATATATTGTGAGAGTGGATTGCACGCTGTAACAGAATTGATGGAAATAATAATTGGTTATGACTGTTGAGTTGGCTTCAATCATTATAAATGAGTTACCTGATTTATTTATATTATTGTTGTTGTTACTAATATTGCATACATGTTAATGTAAGTGAAGCGCCTTAGTCTCGTTACTACTTCGTCGAAGTTAGGCTCAGCACTTACCAGTACATGGGGTCGGTTGTATTGATACTACACCCTGCACTTCTTGTGCAGATATCAGAGTTGGTCCCAGCGGCGTACTATAGACTTGCTCGGATTTCAGCTACTCGGAGGAGACTTGAGGTATAACTGCATGGAGTCCACAGTTCTGAAGTCCCCGTCTATTTTACTTTAGCTGTGTGTTTATTTCCAGACAGTTTTATTTTATTCAGACCTTTATTTGTATTATTCTAGAAGCTCGTGCACTTGTTACACCAATTCTGGGATGGTATTTAGACACCGTTGTTATTTTTAGGGATTATTCACTATATTTCAAACTTTGCTTCCGCATTTGTTTCTTTGATTATTAATAATTTAAAAATTATTTAAAAATTAGTTAATATTATTCTAACGTTGGCTTGCCTAAGAAGTGAAATGTTAGGCGTCATCACGGTCCGAAGGTGGGAATGTCGGGTCGTGACACTATCCTTCGGCAAAAAAAAAAAAAGGTTAATTTTTTCCCTTCTGTTGATTCTTCTTTAGTTTCTGGTGAATTCCTTTAAATCCCGATTTCTGTGTTTATGGGATTCTATCGGGTATTTAAAATTTAATACAAAAAAAGGATATTATGGACAATAATATTTATGTTTCAACTTATATACATGATTAAGGAAATTGAATAGTACAGGGAATAAACTATATAAATTGCCTTTTTATTTAAAAAATTTTGGACTAATCTAAATTACTCATAGCATGGGTAAATATAATTTGGTGAATTGATGATAAAATATAAAATTCGGAGGATTGGGTATCCTAAATTAGTGATGAATTTAGCCTAAATAAGGAAATTAACACGAGATCGGTGTTGATGTGGTTATAGATTGATTGAAGAAAGTCGTACGGATCGTTCGAGGTAACGAGTTTGGTATTTCGCACGAAGTACTATGAGTAGTAATCTTACCGCAATTTGTGTTTTCATAACTTTCATGACTTACACATGATTTTTAATGTGAATATGTTACCAATTATTTTGAGTTGCATGTGGGACAAGTCTTTTACTCCATATGATACCGAAATAGTTATTTGAGATGATTACCATTGTTTTAAATATTTCCATTGTCACTAGATATATTTTACCGTTACTTGAATTTACTGTTATCGAAACAAAATTTCATGATTTGATAAGAACTTATATGCCCTACATTATTTTAAAATATTTTCCTACGAGCATATATGGATTACAGAGACAAGTATAAATGGGAGTAGACTTAGAAGGATCTCGTATCTAACTGCGGGTTCATTAGACCTGGTGAACCTTGTAATTACCGATTACCGTTATAGACCTCGCTAGTGGGAAGGTAGAACTAGCATATCGTTACCGATTTCCCTCGAGTAGGGACTACTGTTATATTTGACTTCTTGCGAAGAAGTCCACAGTTATACCGATTACATGATCCATTCATTGAAACCTCCTATACATGAATATTAATATTACACAGTATTTACCGAGTTTATTACCGAATTGTCAATTGATTTATATTACATGAAAAACATGATGAGACTGATTATTGTTTATTGTTTCTGAAAGGGCATTCTTATGATTTTTTTGTTTAATATATATACTAGCATATTTTCTGACTTGTCCTTAATAAAAACGGTTGTGGTTAAGTGTTATTACTTACTGAGCTAGCGACTCATTCCCCGCTAATTATTTTTACAGAGATAGCAGTTGACGCCGGCGATGATTTCGTTAATTAGAGCGCACAGGTTGATAGTTCTTGGTGAGCCTCGCACTTGTTCGCGTGGGCGGAGATTTTATTTATTGTTATGGTCTTTTCTTTGAACTCTTAGAGTCGCTCCATAGTCATTCTTTTAGTGTTATGAGTATTCTTTTGTTATTATAGACTTATGTTGAGTATCGCTCTTTATTTATTATCAAAGTTTGAGATAAATTAGTATTTCTAGCTGTTAGTGGGTTAATAGTAGATATTTGTTTGGGTTAATTGATAAAGTTATTGTTGTTTTGGATTAATATTAGGATATTTGGTTGTTGAATTGAGACGGAAAAAATTTTGGGATAGTCCAAAAACAGGAACAACTCTATCTGATTTTCTGTAAAATACGATGAGGCTTACTTGGGGGCACTTGCTCCTAAGTGACGATCATGATCCTAAATTGGATCGTGACAATTAGGATAAAAGGTTATTTTAGATTCAAATAAGATTACTGTAGTAATTAAACTCTAAGTTGTAGTCCCAAAACATAGCAACTAATACTCCCCTCGGTGCAAATTCCTAGTTTCTCTCCAAAAAATTAAAATTTATTGATAGCAATTTGTAAAGCATGTTTCTGACAAAAATGTCATCTTCATTCTCGGAAGGGATTTCATTTAGTCAAATGCCTACATATCGAACATTTATTTGGCTGCCTAATGAAAATTGATATAGGTTAGAGTGGCCCTAGAGGTGTCATAATTCCACGCTCAACGGTTCTCAGAGTTAACAAGAAAAGGTGTCATTTCACTGGTTGAAGTTAGGTTTGAACTTGTTACTTGATTAAGAATTGTTTTAGTTATTGGATTCGTGATTAAAAATTTAAATATATTTAATAAAATTCTAAATAAATATAGGATCTAAGAAAAATTATTAAATTCGTTTGAATCCGTACACAATACTCTGCTCCGCCTCTGTCAATAAGTCATAAGTACCACTAGAATATAGACTAATGAGAAGAAAACAAATGATGTTTACCCTTACTACCCTCTTTTCCTTAATTTGTCTATTTTTAAGTATAGCTTTTACGCATTTTAGCAAGACAAGAATGTACAAAAAAGATCACCTTTAATGATATACATTCTGTAGAAGTTACTATCAGCTTTTTTTTCAACAAGATACAGAGTTGACTGAAGAAACGCAGCTCAAGTCTAATTAATTAGGACGATAATCAGATAAGCTTCGGAATGTCAATTCAATTTACTGGCACCAACCAAACCATCTAGAACACAGATTCAACCTTCCACATCTAAGAAGCGTCTTTAATCTTCCATTATTAGTCTAACCCCGACAGTCAAATTGAAACTATCCATAGTTAATTTTAAAAAGTAATATAAGTTATATGCATTGAAAGTACTACAAAAAGTAGTAGTTATACAACCAAAAAAAAAAAAAGGTAATCCGATGCACTAAGCACTATGCGCGGAGTCCAAAAAAAGGCCGAGTCACAATTATATTTCTTATAAAGTAATTATAGGTAAATATTTATGATAGATATTAATCGATAACCTGGCGATAGTGCGGAAGTACACAAATAGCCATTTTAGGGTTGCTATTTAAAGATTAGCCAGTATTTATTTTGTCCCGAAAAGTTGAACTACAAATCTTAACCTAGAAAAATTAAACTGAAATTCAGGACACATTGGATAATTTCTTTGTAGGAGCTCTCTAGAATGGCTACCTCGTGTCATACTAGTTTTTTGAGATGCAAATGTAACACTTTTTTTATAATTAATTTCTTCTAGTAATTTTTTAAATCTACCTAGTCACATGGCTAAATAGTTCTCATTTTATTTTTTAAAAAATAAAAATCTTGTAATTTTTACCTTAAAATATTAAATGTATTTAAGAATTAACCATAAAACCTATTTTTGATAAATAAGAAAAAAGGGGGCCCCAAAATCTTTTGGGGTCTAAAATCTTTGCTTTAATTGCTTTGACCTTGAGCGACACTGCGTGGTAAAAATGGCATCGTCTAATAGGGCGTACAAACCGAACCGAAAAATCTCATCAAATCGAAAAGTCAAACCAAACCGATTAAAAAAATTGACTTTGTTTGGTTTGATTTGGTTTGGTATTGAGTAAAAAAATCTGAACCAACCCGACATATAAATATATAATTTTTATATATACTTTTAAGATTTTATATAGAATTTTCTTTTAAAAATATCTAGAATATTTGGGATTCTCTTACGGGATATAAATTTTAATAGAATATGAAGTGCTCCATATTTATTGGCCTTAAATAATAGGTTGTATGATCACTTTCTTATAAAGTGTTACTGAAATGCGTATATCTCTTTGTTCTTCCATATTCATATCATATGTTAAGATCTATTAAATTTTTATATCTTTTTCGCATGTGAAGTGATTATTAATATTTAGGTATCATATTAATTTTTATGTTTAATTACTAAATTCGATTAACCTGAAAGCGTACATCAACGAAAAATTATTGTCAGACGATTAAAAAAATAACTATATGTTACTAATGGAATTCTCCCCGTAAGAATATTTTAATCGATAATATGTTTGTCAATTGTTTTTATATTTTTACTAAATATATATATTTACTTATCAAATATTTAACAAAGTAAGATTGAAATAATATTTAAGTAACAAAAAATCCGAAAAATTCGACAAAATCGAACCAATCCAAACCGATATATTTAGTTTGGTTTGATTTTGATAAAAACCGAACCAACCCGATCCATGTACACCCCTACTATATAATATGCAATTCACATGTTAAACTACAAGTGTAAAAATTCTTTAACTTTCTTGTACATAACTTAAATCAAATTTAATTAAGACTTACTTTCAAAAAGAAAAAGAAAAAGAAAAAAGAAGCAAAAGCAGATATATTTTCATGTAAGAATTAGTCTTTAAATTATAGGAATTAACAATAACAAGACGAAAAAAAAATCAAAGCCACAATGCCCCAGCTTGTTTCAATACAGGAGTCAATTCACCACTAATATGAGCAGCCATAATCCGATCCAGTCCTCCGAACAACTCTCCTCCGACAAACACCGCCGGCAACTGCAAAACACCATCTTTCCGATCACCGCCGCCGATATCCTCCAGCTCTTTTACAACCTCATTTTCATATTTTTCTTCAATGTCATAAATTCCCGGGTTCACTCCAAGAAAATGAAGCAAACATTTTATAACATGGCTCATACAACAGCCGCGCCGACCGAAAACTATAACGGCGTTTTCTGTAATCATGTTTTTGACATCCCCTTTTGATTCTTGATTTAATAAAGAGGAAGATTTGTTTAGAGTTCTGAAATCTGTTGGAAAATTTTGCCATGACTTGTATGGAAGTGCTTCTTGCATTGTGAATATTTTAGTTTAGCTAACTCGATAAAGAAAGAGGGTTGCGGCGATATGTTTATTTTTTGTTTTTTTAGGAGTAGCTAAGATTGTGATGAGGAAATATAGGAAATGAAATAGTTATATAGAATTGGTATTTACGTGTATGTGAATATATAGGAAGGAGAGGGATAGGGTTGAAAGAGTCGAACGTCAACGGTAGTTACGCAATCTTACGCGTAATATATGCTGTAGCTTACGTTTAATTATGTCATTACCTGCCTATACATATGCTGTATAATTAATAAAGTGGGTAACCCATAAACTTACCGTCTAAATATGGGTCCAAAAATTTTAGAATTGAATTTATGTATTATATATTTAATATTCGTTTAGACTTACTATTTGTTACAGTACAATTTTAGTGAATTTATATAAAAATTTATATGAAGCATGAAAAAATTCACCGAGTACATAAATACATAGGAATTCTTATGTAGAGTTTAATATAGGAGTGGAGCTATAGTTCTAGTTATGGGTTCAGCCGTGGTAGTTTTGGTTAAAATTCATTATTTGTTTTAAAATTTTCATTTCATATGTTTAAATAACTTATTTAAAATTCAATAAATTATCATTTTTAGAATTCAGAATTCATAAACTAAAAATTTAAAATCTATTTCTGTAATAAATTGAGTTCAGACTCTACTTGTGAGAATATACAGAGCAGTATATTATTTGTATAATACATGGGGATATCATATTGGACGGAAGAAAAGAGAATGAGAATAGGAGAATACTGTTTAGGACTTTGAAACAAAACACATGGGAGTTACGTAAAGCGAGTAGAGAAAAGGGAAAGCCGCTCGCGGACGGTGCGCAATGCCAACGTCACCTAAAACATATGTTTGGAAATGACAATAAGTAAAATACAAAATTGATTTGAAATTAATTATATTCGTTTGTCCTAAAATATATAAAATATGCATTTTTTTGCATATAATATATGTATATACAAAAATATATATTTGTCGACTATTATTTATGAAAGCAACTAAAAATATATACATTTTCCAATAAAAATAAAGGCCTGCGTGATTCGGCACCGAAACATGGCATTTTGACCACCAAAGAATGTGATGTATCGGATGAGATTGTTCTTTCCTTAACCGTAGATCTGAAGTTCAAGCCATGAATATAAAAAAAATTCTTGATAGGAAGCGTTTTCCCCGAAATGGAGCCCTACGCAGGACAAATGGAAAAATAGGCGGGCTTCAATACATATATCGAGAAAAAAAAAATGGCGTTTGACAACGTCCTTCCAAAAACCAGAAAACGTAGAGCATGACGTGCGTCTGACATTACGACAAACAGTGCCCGCCGCGTAACGCGGACGTCCCTTTTGTTTCCCCTCATTTTTTCTTCTCGCCACTTTGGCTTTTGTAGATAACTGATTTCCTAACAAATAAAATCTTAGACATATTTAGGCTGTCTTCTATAAAAAGCAGGATAATCCTAAACTAAGCAAAAAAAAAAAAAAAATTATGCCACTAAGCTTTAGCTATGTGCGGAGTCCGGAAAAGAATCGGATCATAAAAATTTATTATATGCAGTCTTGCCCTGCATTTATACAAGAGGTTATTTTCATAGCTCGAACTCATGACCTCCTAGTCAAAGGATATCAACTTTATCAGTTACGCCAAGGCTCGTGTTCTAAACCAACTTAAGCCATATTAAATTAATTTTTCCATAAAATAATTACATAGCAAATAATGGTAAATAGAACTACCCGGTTGCTATTTCTAGGCACTAAATTCAAACAGATGAACCATGCTATTTAACTGATACAACGTATCATTTCTTGGCATAAGCAGACAGAAGCAAAAACACTCGAAGGAAAATCAATGGCAAAGCTTAATATATATTTGTGCTTCCTTGTGTTGTTATCTTTCACAAATATTTGTAAGGTAAAATATACCATTAGCTGATTTGAGGATAGTTCTTGTATGTTTCCCTTGATGAGTGAGACTAGGAGGGTATTTTGCTAAACTTATAAGTTGGTCAAACTAACTTATATGAATTTTTTGACTTATTTACGTATTTGTAAAAACTCAAGTGCTTATAAGTTAAAATTAGTCAAAAGTCATAAATTTTTCGGCCATAACTTATACTTCCTCCGTTTTAATTTATGTGAACTCATTTGATTGGGCACGGAGTTTAAGAAAAGAGAGAATACTTTTAAACTTGTGGTGTAAAATGAGGCGCATATATTTTGTGTGGCTATAAATCATTGCATAAAGGTAAATTGTTTCCAAATAAGGAAAGAAGTCATTCTTTTTGGCACAGATTAAAAAGAAAATATATTCACATAAATTGAAACGGAGGGAGTAGCTTTTCAACTTATAAGTACTTTTTATTTGACCAACTCTTTTACTATTTTATCCTTAATTTTTTTTCTAATTTTTCAAAATACCTTTTCCACAACAAATCTTCTAACGTCTTCTTCATTCCATATCTGTCGTTCCTCTTTTTTCTTTACAAAGTTACGTTAAATTTTTTTCTTTTTTGGGTAAAGGTATTTTGAAAAATAGCTTATTAGCACTTTTTTAACAACACATATCAATTGTTTATTATCAGTTTTACTACTATATTCAAACACGTAACTGATTATTTATAAATCAGTATCAATATTTAAAAATAATTTTCAACTGACACAAACAAGGGTTGAGCCACTTTATGCTAAGCGCCAGCGGGCATCAATTAATACTCCTTCGCCAGAATATTATACTGTTTAGCTAAGTTAAAAACTTATTTTTATATGTTGGGCTCCCCTTATTTCTTTTTTTGTGTTTACGTTTTTATAAGTTGATACCCGTTAATAAAATTTCTGGATCTATCACTAAACACAAACGAGCTTTCGTGCAGGGAGTTAAGTGGTGGTGTGTGGCAGATGAATGGGCAAGTGATGCAACACTTAATGCATTTTTTTATAAAGCATGTAAAAAAGGATACTGTACTGAACTAAAACAGGGAAAACCTAGTAACTTGCCTGTTACCGCTCGAAGCCATGCCTCTTACGTTCTTAACCTTCCCTATAGGAAAACTTCTAAGTGTCCTCCTCACTTGGGCATTCGTGTTCAAACCGATCCTTGTAAGTTTCTCTCTCAACTTCGTATCTCGTACGTATTAGGGGAGGCAAGATTTTCATTAAAAGGGTTCTATATATATATATATGCATAAAATAATTTTTGACTTTATATATATAGTGGGATTTTTCTGCACGAATCCCCATTTTGTCCCGTGCAAGTACGTGTTAGCTAGATTAGAATTTAGTTCAAAACAAAAATTTTATACTATATTTTTAAAAAGATTATATGTGCGCGCATATATATATATAGAGAGAGAGTATGTGTCATGGACGGAGCTACAATGTTAAATAGGGGTTTGAAAAAATCTAGTAGCTTTTGCTTAAATTTTGTATTAGAAAATTCATAAATAAATATGTATAAATATTTAGTTGCGAACCCAGAACTAAAATAAGCTATGAATTTAATGGCAAGTTCCGAACCCATAAACTTCGCTAGCGTTTGGCCATAGATTCCCAAATTTATTCTGAAAAATTTGATTTGGGTAAAGTTTGGTTTGAAGATGAAAATGTGTTTGGACATCTGTTTTGGGTGAAGTTTGGTTTGAAAAAATATGAAACATAACTTATACCCACAAGTTCTAAAAACTATCACAAATACCCAACAGTACCATTATCAATAACATTTATTATATTATCGCAAACTATAGTCCTGAACATAAATAAATTTGATACAAAATTATCATTTTTAATGAACTACATGATACACTATCAGATAAGCGAGAAGACGAAGCAACATCGTTACAAAATAATAAATGGTGGGCTCTTTTATAAAATATAAAGTTTGGGGTAATTTTTAAAAAATATAATAGTGATATTTTGGCCCAAAACCAGCTATTGAGTTGGTTTTGGGATTTCGGATTTCGGATTTGGGATTTGGCCAAAATATAGGCAAAATCTATGGCCAAACATGTGTTTGCCAAATAAAACCCAAATTTATTTTGACAAATGACCAAACGGGTCCTTCAAATTTTGAATACGCCTCAGAATTTGTAGCTATGTGTTTTAAACCTTTAAACAAGTGTACTTATCTAGTTTATGTCTATTTTGTGATCTTGCAGCTTATGGACAATACATATATCCATAAATGGTGTTGCTGATCAACAAGAGAATTCTTTCAATTAGAGGGATGCAAACCGATTTGTATTTCTACTAATAATTTTAATAGTCTATATGTCAATCATTTAAGCAAATGTGTAATAGATGCCTCCTCCTTTTGTCTCTTTAAGGAATATATTTGAGATAATGCAGCTGCATCTTTATCCGAATTATGCACTTTCTTTTATAATTTCGTATTTTCGTACAATGTCACCATAAATTTTTATTTTTGGGTTTTTTTTTGGGGGGGGAGAGATTTTTAATGGTTATTTGATTATGCATTTAGCATGACGTGCGTCTGACCTTTTGTTTCCCTTCATTTTTCTTTTCGTGACTTAGCTAGCGTTTGGACATAAATTTGATTGAAATTTGAAGAAAAAAAAATTGAAGTTGTGTTGAAAAATAATTTTTTAAAGTTGATTTTAGACATGCATTTTATTTGAAGAAAAGTTGAAGTTAAGTTTGGACATGCATTTTATTTGACCAAAAGTTAAAGTTTTATGAGTGGAAGAAAAAATCTCATCCAAAAACTGCCCTAAATCAGTTTTTGGGAATTTGAAAATTTTTGATTTTTTTTTCCAAAACATGATCATATTTCACAAACAAACAATGTTTTTAAATTTTTTTTTTGAAAAAATAAAGCCAAAATTTATGACCAAACGGGAGCTTAGCTCGTGGAGATTACTGATTTTCTAACAAATAAAATCCAAACATATCATTAAATTATTTTTTCCATAAAATAATTAATTACATGGAAAATAAGAATAAATAGAATTACCCAGTTTCTGTTTCTAGGCACTAAATTCAAACAGATGACCATGCTATTTAACTGATACAACTTCTCGTTTCGTGGCATAAGCAAACAGAATAAAAAACACTTAAGAGGAAAATCAATGGCAAAGCTTATTGTATT